GGGGGGGGGGGGGGGGGGTCTTAAAAAAAAGTTTTTGGCATTTTTGAATTTTTCTTATATGTTACTTTAATTTTTAAAAGTTTTTAACACTTTATTTTATTTCCAATAACCCTGTTGCTATTACATAGGGAGCTAACAAGCACCCTATGTAATAGCAGATAGGGTGTGACAGGTCCTCTTTATGAAGACATCAGGGGTCTTGCAGACCCCTGTCACCCAGGGCCCCCAAAGAAGCTGAGGAAGCAGAGATCTGCTTACCCAGCTTCATCTCCTGGCTCTAAGAGCCGGAGACTGTGTACAGTGACACCGGAAGTGATGTAATACACATCACTTCCGGGTCCAGTGATCGGAGGAGAGATCAGCGGCTAGAAGCCGCTGAATCTCTCTCAGATCACTTCGGGGAGACCCGCCGAGCCGCTCCCGGGGAAGGCGGCGGGGGGGCCTGTACAGACGCCGGATCGCTTGTAAATTAACAGCAATCGCCTGCTGTTAGAAGCGGTACCAAGAACACGGCTGCTGCAGCAGCAGTGTTCTTGTTTTAACCACTTCAAAGGGCCGCCGTCTATAGACGTATTGCGGCCCGGAAGTGGTTAAAGTCAAAAGGCTTTTAAGCTACTTCAAAAGCTAATTACATTCCAATGAATGCTGCTCCATGATGTTTAAAGTTTTAGTTTCCTGCAGAATCAGCTGACCTCGACAGCCTGTTTGAGGGTGGCTCCTTTTCCTTGCAAGGGTCCTATGGAGCCGCCCCTGTGTGTGCTAGGAAGCAGTGTGTCTCCCCAAACACAGGCACAGCAAGGCAAACCACTCTCCTGCTACCAGCTCCTCTCTTCTCCAAGCTAATGGACAGCTGCTGGAGATTGCTCTGTCCCTCATGATCTTGTACTGGACAGGTAGTTCAGGGAAGCGGAGGAGAGTGAGTTGGAACCAGCTGTTCTGAAACACGAGGAAATGCTTAGCAAAGAATATTTGTTTGATCTGGATTCACTATTGAAAAAAGTTGGAGAGTTTATAACTACTTTGAATCAAACTTATGCTTTGTCCATGCAGGAAGCAAAGAAAATATCCAGTACCTCCAAGTATACGGAGGAGCTAGTGACTCGCTTCCCTTCCTCATGTCACAGCACTGGTGCGTGGTGGTTGACCTAGCACTGCCACATGGAGTGGTAAGGCCATTCTCAGCCCTGTGTAAACTACAACTAAAGTGTGTCGCGGAGCTTACACAGACTTGGTTTTCCTAGCTCCAATATTAGGCTCATATATATCTTGTAATGAACATATGAGAAAAACATTAAAAAAAAGATTCAAAAATTATTATTTGAATATCTGGCCATGTAAATAAAAATCAGTGCAAAGCTCTTTACTAAGCACTTGTAGTCTGAGAAATATGGAGGCTGCCACCTTCTGAAATGCAAGCTTCCTGTCTGTCTCCGTCTTTCTCTGAATACACTGAACTAGATCAAAAATGCACATTAGCAAAGTCAGAACTCCTAATGTGTGTACTAAATACACCAAAATGACAGGAAGACAGCCGATGTATCTAGAAGCATTATAACATCTTATTGCTACTTACTTTTTAGAGACGATAAGCCAGTAGTTCCACCGAACAGAGACCTGGTTGCAGAACTGCCGGATCCTCCTGGGGGAGGTACTATAAGTACCAAATAGGTGCCGCATGTGTACATAGGAGTCTTTCTTAACATTTTCAGTGGAAGGCCACAGCTTGTGTTTGCAGCTATAACAAAAAGTTATACAAGATCATTTTACATTCCAACAGACATTTGAAAAATTGTATTTTTCTACAATGTGAAGGAGACTATGATACTTATTATTACTAAGAAGCAGCTAAACCATTTATAAGAGTTTTGTTGTTTTTTTTGCTATAGGAGATTATGTCGCTCAAGTGGCTACATGTAGAAATACAGCCATTATTGCCAATATTTTCTTGTAGCATCAACAGACTGGAAACACCTAACTGCACTACAAACACTGTAGCAAACTGGTCAGCAAGGAAGGTCTTGCACTTGGTAGGCCTTGAACTGGGTTAACCTTTACAGAGTTTATTAGTTATCAAGCACATGTCTTCTAGGATAGTAGGATGAATGGCGGGGGTCAAAGTCCTCATCAACCCATCACACTAAAACCATGGACTGCATGGCTTTATCAAGACACTATTAGAGGTGCAGCAAACACAATTTATCCGCCCCTAAACATGAGCACAGGCTACTGAAGTACAGTCAATGCTTGTACAAAAGGACTGATGTTTGTATATAATGAGACAGAAATTCTGTGGATAAGATGTGGGAGAGCTACCAAACTGAACAGGGCCTGTATTGTAAAATGTCCATGATCATTATATCCCGGAATGATGTTTATTAAACCAGGGGACAACTTCTCCAAAACCCTTAGAAATATATTAGTATACTGTAACTATAGTGTTAAACCACAAGCATTGGCTTTATTGTACTCACCAGTTTGGTCCTCTTTCAGAGTATTTGAGATTGTTGATCCTGTCAGAGCAGCAAGGGTTGCAGATGGAGAAGCTCTGTATCTGGACAATCGACTGAGGAGCATTTCATTAATACTTTTTGCTGATTCGCCCTCTTTCCTCATCAGTATGATGCGCTCATGAAGAGAGCTTGCCATGTACACTCCATTTTCTCCCTAAGGTATAAATACACAAAGTTATTAGAAGTCAAATTCTCTCTCTCTCTCTCTCTATTCATCCACTGACGAACACAGCTTGATGGTAAGAAACTTAGGGTTATACTGCCACCTACAGGAGAAATGGACACTAGGCACTGAAAACTGAAAGCATGCCCCTTTAAGGCTATAACTCCTGCTCAGTTTTGCATAGTGTCCTTAGGAGGATGGATAGACGCACTGTAATGCATGGTATTGCAGTATCGCATGTTGCTGTGTGGTCGAGCGCATTGCAGCTGGAGGTGCCATTCAATTGAATGGCAACACAACACACCTCCAGCACTGTAACACACAGTAGGTGCATTGCCCAGTAGCGTGCGTTTATTGCAAGGAACAGTGATGGTGTGAATGGGCCCTAAGCCCAAGATTGTTGTGTCTGCCTCAGGAGATGCTATTTTTTCTCCAAAAGTTCTGCATGCAGGCATTCCATGGCCTTGATTTTTTTGGATACTTTTATTTTGGGTTGATCACCTGTGTTGTTTGGGTATGCACATCCAACAGTTTGACTGTTTTGTGAAGTCTCTAGGTTTTTTTTTTTTTTTACTATCAAGCTTTATCCATCAATGGATGATAGATGAAATACGATTTTTGTACACACCATAAAATGATTTCAGTCCACTGAGCATAAAATTATATATATTTATATAGATGTATATTACATATACATAAAAAATTTGTGTGTGCATCTCCTTGTGATCGGGTTTCTCTAGATTCTAACCAATTGACACTCACAGACCTAAACTGAATATGGGTGAAGTCACCAACCTTAAAAAGAAAAAACAAAATTACATCTTACATTTAATTCAAAGATGTCCATAAAAACAGAATGACCCTTAGGAGTCTTCTCATTTAGACTTGCTGGAGACCATATCCAATAAAAGTAAGTGCCATCAGAAGAAAGGTGCACGGTGGTCATGTTGCTACCAACAGGAAAATGATTGGCTGGCATTGTGATTATCTGAGTGATCTGCAATAAAACAAAACAAAGCTGATTTAAGGTCAAGAAGTTAAAGTGCACCTGAACTCAAAAAGTGAAAATCTGCAATGTTATAGGGAACATCTAGAAATGTAATTACTTAGGAAGCACACTGAAAACGTACATTGTCTCAGATTCCTTCTGAAATATAGCAGTGCCTAAGCACTCCTGTGCCAACAGCCTCATAGGTGAATATCTGCAGTGAAATTTGCACTTTTAATGAAGCGCTTTTTTTTTTGGTGGTTGGCATGAGTTGTGGGCAAACATTACCCTGATGGTCTCCCAATGACTCAGTTGCCATGGGAGAAAACGAGCTTCCAGTCTGATGGTCAGACCATCCTGCCTTTAGGACAGAACCCCTAACTAAATGCTGGGGAGAAGGCTCTGTGCACAAGGTGACTGGTGGTTGTGGTGGGCCTGGTCCAGCACCTATGGATTGCTTTGACTTTCCTGGGAAAGAAGTACATTAATACCGTATTGAAACCTAAGGAAGCAGTACTAAAAATAAAAAAAATAAAGTTGAACGAAACCCTTGAGGCATTGCTGCTTCTGACTGCTAGTCTCTGGAGATTTGGAGATCTGGAGACTGCAATCTGGAGGTATCACTAGTGGGCTGCTCCCTGTTCTCCTTGCTGGAGGCTTTGACACAAGGAAGAAAAGTCCTGCTTCTACCAAGATGGCTGCCTGCACACAGAGACACACTGCAGAACAAGGCATAGTAAGTCAGTAAAGGGAAAAGTACAGCTGCAGGGCACAGCTTCCACAGTTCAGTTCCTCTTTAAATGATGCAAATGAAAACTTCAGCCTAATATACACATGCTGTAACGGGGGGGGGGGG